GCTGGTCGATCCAGCAACAGTCCTCGATTTTTTTCTTCAAAGGGACTTTCCTCAGAGGGATGTTAAAATTAGGAGCCTCTGCACAAGTACAATAAGGAGATCAAGATAAATATCAGTCTTTTACTTCGACAGAAATAAGAACATATACGCAAACACTCGAGCAAATGGGTCGAGAATTACTTGGATCATTTTCATAACGAACAAGATTGAGAATCTCCTCAGTAGGAGGAGAAAGAGTTTTATGGGTGAGCATACCGCAAAAGTGGAGAAGATTTTCATCACCAAGGAGTTTTTCAGACTCAACGGACTTGGCATTCCAAGTGTGAATCCGTTGGTCGAAGAGATGGTTCGAAGGAGTGGCCGAGGCTGCCTCTCGCGAGACTTCCTTGACCCAAGGAATGGAAGGCCAGGGGAAAGGGGCGTCAGGTCGAACAAAAATGAATTTATCACTCCACTTGGGGAGGTTAGAAGGGATGTCGTTGATGAAATGGGCACCATTACGGCTTTTCAGGTAAAGGCCTCGACCTTGCTTCGAAGGGCCGTAGCAATAGTGGAAGAAATCCAGATCAAATCGACCCAAACGGACATGACAGAGAATAATGAAAATGTTCATGAAACGGATAGAATTAGGGGGAAGTTGATGTAGGGGAAGCGAGAACCACTCGCAAATGCGAAGCAGCTCAGGACTTAGGGGAAAGCGGAGACCGAGTTTGAACTGAATCTCGAAAAAAGTATAACAATCCTGCGGAGGATGATCGTATTTAGGAAGAAGACCTAAGGAACACCCAACCAAGAGGTTGGCCGATTTTTTCAGGATTGAACCAAGGGTGAGAAAGAGAAGTAGATGATGGACGCTTACAAAGTTTTTTGGTCGAGGATCGTTTAGGTGGAGAATTTGAAGAGGGAGGAGCAGTGGGCTGAGGAGAAATAACCTCGTCCTCCTCTAGCTCGTCTAACGCGCCAAGAGCAGGTCGACAGCGGCGGAGAGGAATGTTATCCATAGTATCCCCGGAGTTAGAAGAAGCGACGCGGGCTGTGAAAATACGAGTAGGAACTGTGTCGCCGGGGCGAAGGATAGAGAGAGGGACAACTTCGAGCGCAGAGGGTAGTATTTCAACCGAATCAAAGGAGGTCTCAGAGTCTGAAAAAAATAAAACAAAGAGAAAAATATCAAAAAGAACCCGTCGCAAAGAAGAATAGGGGGAGAAGGAAGATTAGGGTTTCCGGAAGGAACAATCCCAAAACCAGAAGAGGGATTTAAGAGGCGCGAAGACAAAAATTTCCGAAATTTTCAGAGGAAAAGCAAAATTCACAACACCCAATAGACAAATAAAAGCATTCAGAGCATAAATTTAACACAAGACACGCCAATTCAAAATGATTCAACAGGCAAATCGAGGGTACCTGATACCGAAAGTCCAAGGATACACAAAATAGAACTACAGAAAATGCAAATTCAAAGGCGGAGAGACTTACTCATAGCCGTGGATCAACAAGTAATGGAAGTTCGAAAGGATGCAGGAGAAATTGCCGAGAAAGTAAGGGTTTTTTGCAAAGAGAATTTTGGGTGCAGAGAAATTTGAAAGTCGCGAAGGTGGAAAAAAAGTCTGAAAATCTGCTAAGGGTTGAATTTATACTTCGGTGAGTTTAAGGGGTGAGAAGATGAAGATCGTTAGATTAAAGCCAGAATGTACGGTGGGAAGCATTAATTTGCACGGCACTCAAGGCGGGTGCGTTATACGAAGAGGTGTCATCATTAAAGCGCTTGACACATGCGGCAGACGTGACGCGCAGCAGAAAAGCAGGCACGACAGAAAGGACGTGAAACAGACGACTTTATTTCTAGCAATTAATGGGAAATTATTTGAAAACGTGAGCGGGAAACCTATCGGCTGGTTGATATTTGATGACGAGCCATCTAGGAGGTCGATAAGTACCAATTCACTCTTAGATCGAGTCATTCAGACTCGACTAGAGTGGGGGGGACTAGATGATATGGGATATTATATACACAAGGCTAAACCGGTCTACTTGGCCGGTCGAGAAGGTCAAACCAAGAGGAAGCCAAGCCAAAAGGCGGGAAGATCGAATATTCAGATAATCGACAAGGCAGGTGGTCGACCAATCCATCGCTCGACCAATCCATTGCTCGACCAGATAAAGGATCGAGCAATATATTCGACCTCATCAGGTCGATCGCTTCGAGGGTTTGACAATCGGCCTAGTCACAGGCGCGTGTGGGAACTTCTAACCGAATCTCAGGAGAATATTTACCTCATGTGCAGGGAGACACGTGTCGAGAAAGCATTGGTGGATATCGATAACCACCTCTGACAGCTCCCAACGCCCTGTGCCACCTCTGACATGTGCGTGGCGTGTAAGAGTACGGACGGGCAGCTTGGGCAGCCAGCTCATCCTTATCCGGGCAGCTATTAGGGCATGTATCTCACCCCTATATAAAGGGGGTGAGCCTTTCTCCCTTAAAACATTCTATTCATTTTACTCACTTCAGTATACTCATACACATACTGACTTAAGCATCGGAGGATCTTCACCGGACACAACCCTCAGTGTAAGAGTTATTTGCAGGTTTCCAGCGTTCTACCGGCGAGGACAAAGATCGATCTGTTCAAACCGGACTAGGACGCTCACACTTGCATTAAGAAGACTGGGACCGAAAACTAGGAGGTAATTTCATATACACCTCTTCATCAAGATCA